ATATGATAAAATTTATTCATAACAAAAGCTGCTTATATACTTCTTCTATGAGAGCACGGGTGAATCGATACCGAGTTGGTATATGAGGTTGGAGGAGTCCAAGATCAAAAGATGGAGCTGATGCTTTTTTTAGATAATACAACTTTAACATGGAGGTGGCTCCACACTATTTAGATCTCCAAAGTATGGAGAAAAGGGCTAAAAAGATCGTTAAGGAGCATGTACAAAGGTGGCACAAAGTAGCGACTCAAATCCATCTGCTACTAGTAGAATATGAGTTAATCTCGACATTTTTGAATACTTTCGAACACCTTACTTTGACTATTTGATTGGTAATGTTTCAACTAACTTTACTAACATTGTTATCATAACTAAGAGAGTGGAGCAAGTGATTAAAATTAGAAAGATCTCCGATGTTTCGAAAAGAAAGGAAGCATTAGTCATAAAAGGACAAGTAGTAAGGTACACTAAGTTGAGACCGAATCTTATCCATCTAAGAATTGAGGAAGTATTCAAGGAAAACATGGTAACCATGGCAACTCCAGTAACTCCAAAGAAATTCATTCACCCATTATATCCCTATTCAAACAACCACTATGAACCAAACATACCCATCAAATCAATAGAATCCATGCCACGGGCCCTAGCAAACCTACCAAGAAAATCAATTCCCTTAAGCTATCATGCATTTTCAAAATCCATCAAATCTTAACAATCCATAAATACCATACTATCATTACCATTAGAAAAACAAAGACTACAAAAAAGAACTCGAACAACTACCACCCTTACCCCTCTCATTAGTTAAAATGTGTTGAGCACTTGGTAAGCATTGGATAGGTCACTCCAATCCTTACTAACCCGATGCACCCTCTTTATCCTCCGTGGTCTAAGCAAGATGAGATATGTGAATATTATTCTTGTACTGCTGGGTATAACATCAATGGTTGTCCTACTTTTAAGAAGAAGCTTTTGGATTTAGTCAAGCAAGGTTGGATTAGTTTTGATAGTGGTCCGTATCCTCCTAATGTAAACACAAGCCTACTCTTAAACTATGTGATTGCTAATACAAGGGACAAGGAGACTAAGTGAGTTTGAAAGTTATGAAGGAGATGCATGTTCGTAATTTGTAAGTTTGTCTTCTTCTTTTTTGTAAGTTTTTGAAAACTATTTTCCTAAACGAATTGGCTATGCATGAATTAATTCATATCTTTTAAATATAAGAATGCTTCTATTGTTTGGTGTGATTTCTTATTTTTCTACTTGAAAATAAGAGATCATTTGAAAGTATTATTTGGCATTATATATATATATATATATATATATATATATATAATGGCAAACTTATTCAACAATATTCTAAAGATTGATCAGATTTCAAAGCATGAATAGATATAAAAAGCAATTCTTTAATCCATTTCCTAATGAACCTTTATAAGCGGAAAGTAAGAGGTCAATCTTTCATTTGTTGGAACCGGAACCAAAAACGAAATTCTTTATCCCATCCCAATTGAACCATTGAAGGAAAGTTTTGCCTAGGAAGTATCATGAAGCCCAAAGTTTAAAAAGAAAATAAATGATTGGTGTTTTAAAATAATGATGAATAATACATCTTCAAGACATGAACTCAAATTACTTTTATTATCCTAAGGGTTCTCCAAATCAATCATTATTTTTAAAAAGAGATTAGCATTTATCAACATAGGCAAATTAGCCTTTGAGATAAGAAAAGGTCATCTTTCAAATGTCTCATGAAAGTTTAATCCCATGTCATTCCCATTTAAGCCAAGATGTTTTCTTTCAAGATCCATAAATACTTTTTAAGCTCGTATATATCATTTTTTTCCAAAACCGAGCCATAGCCTATGTTACATACTTTTACAAGTCCTTTTTTATCAAAGGCAATTTACAAATTTTGTTGGGTACTAATCTCAAAAGAAAAAAGAAAGTGATTAAGAAAAATAAGAAAACATAACCGATCGAGTGTTGTTTATTGTTCTTTATGACATCAAATTATAAACTTTCATCAACTAACTTAGGAAAAAATAAATAGAATTGAGATATTTTCAGGCGAATTATCCTTCAAAGCTAATGGTTTTCAAAATACTTTTTGCTTAAACCTTTTTCATTTATCCAAAAAGGCTTATCATTTGACCAATTACCTTCGAGCGTATCAAAAGCTAATTTTTATACGAACTTTAGATAATCTAAACACATTCTTCGTTTACTTAGCACAACAATCTTCTAGAGAAAATTGCATTATAGCATTTGAATATCAGTTTTGACTTTTGATCATTTGACTTGAATATCCTTATGGATGAAAATACTTTCATTGAAACATCTCTACTTTTCCTATCAAATGATCTGAATTGTATTTAATGGAATTATTCAAATTCATAGCTTAATCTATGAAAACCAAATGTTTAAGATTTTTCTCAAAATATGATAAAAATTTTAAGACCAACTTACAAATTGAGATGCAAACATCGGAAGATGAAATTTGAACATGAATAGTGGTTATGCTAAGAGAATGAAAAATATTTGAAGGCATTCTATGAACCAAATTGGGTAACAATTGGTAAAGTGAAGAACACTTGGAGGTAAGGCCAATGGCCTAACAACTTGAAACAAATTTAACAAACTAGTGAAACAATGGCATCATCATGTCAATTGGAGGAACAAATGCCCAAATAGTAAGCTTTTAAGCATAAGATAAATGATCAAAGCAATCAAGAAAAAGGCAAAGAGTATGCCTTAAAAAAGAATGACAACTTAGCCAAAGGTTGGCAAGCAATCGAGACTATTGAGAATGGTCTCACAAGGATAAACCATAACGAGATGGTGGGTTATCACCTTCAAAAAGTTCAAAAAAGTCTAACGCACCTTAGTTTATTTACAAAAAGTGGAAAACCAAGTCCACAATGAATAACGATTGAGGCTTGGGAGGGAGAAGAAAATTTCAACAGATCTTGTAGTATACAATCCAACTCATAAATCTAAAATGATGCACCAAAAGAGGAGTTGAGTGCCAATAAGGCAAAGTAGCCTATGTTTCTCTCAAGTAAGAAACTAACCATTATTATCAACCTTATTAATACATTTCGGGAAGATCAACTCAAATGAAAGATGAAACCATCATTCGAGCTTGAAATTTGAAAAAAAGGACTCATATTTCTTCACACATTCATTCGGGTAGAGTTTCTAAAATTAGCTTATTTTTTAAGCAAAGGTGCCTAATGATAATTATTCTTGTGAAGCGAGTTGTCAAATTTTATCCATCATTTAGTAGAGTTACTTAACGATCTTCTTATTTTAGGCGAGTTGCCAAGTTCGGTTCTTTATTTGGTTAAAGTTGCCTATTTTATCATTTAGAAAAAGTTGCTTAACAATAATTCTCAATGTTAGGTAGAGTTGTCAAATTTTATCCACCATTTAGATAGGGTTACCTAATGATCTTCTCAATTCGGGTAGAGTTGCCAAAATTAGCTCTTCGTTTAAGCAAAGTTAGCTAATGATAATTTTTCATGTCGAACTGAATTACCAAATTTATCCCTCATTTAGGTAGAATTACCTAATGATCTTTTTATTTTATGTAGAGTTACCAAGTTTAGTTTATCGTTTAGGCAAAGTTGCCTAACAATAGTTCTCCATGTCAAGTAAAGTTGCTGAATTTTATCTATCATTTAGATAGGTTACCTAATAATTTTCTCATTTTTGGTCGATTTGTCAAAATTAGCTTATCTTTTAGGCAAAGTTGCTTAATGACAATTCTCTACTCAAGGAAGAGTTGCCAAAATTAGTTCGTTGTTTAAGCAAAGTCGCCAAACGATAATTCTCCGTGTTAGGTTGAGTCGCCAAATTTTATCCATTATTTAAGTAGTGTTGCCTAAAGATCTTCTCATTTTAGGTAGAGTTATCAAATTTAGTTCATCATCTAGAAAAAGTCGCCTAATAATTATTCTCTATTTCGGGTAGGATTGCCTATCGATCATCTCTCATTCTAAGTAGGATTACCTACCCAATTCGTCGTTTTAGTTAGATTTGCCTAGCATATATTGCACATTTACTTTTTCAAGGTATGTCATCTTAATCAATATAGTTATGTACTATATATTTAATTGTTTAAGACAAGCTATCTTAATCAACTTGACCACGTATTGCATATTTAATTTTTTAGGATAGGTCATCCTTTATAATAAGGTCATCCCATTATAGTTTTACTTTTAGTTTCAATCACTTGGAACAATCAACCAATCTCTAAAAAAGAAACTTCTTTACAACCTTATTAAACAAAGTCATTGAAAAACATCTTTTTCATTTGACTTTGCTTTTTCAATGACTTTGCACCATAAGTATTGTAAATGGGGCAACTATCATAGCCCAAAATTTCTTCATATTTTTTTATTGTTATCTATTTCTTATTTTATTTTATTTTGGAGTTTACTATTAAAAAAAATGGAAAAATGATAAAATACAAAAAAATGGAAAATATATAGAAAATGCAAAAAAAAATTCATTCGGGGATACAATCGCATTAAAGAGAAGTGTAACTAAGGCAATTAGAGGTATAATTAAATTAGTTGAGAAAGTTATAACCTAAATTACACTCTATAGGGACTCAATTGATAAGATTACACTTTTCAAGAACTAAAATTGTAGAGAAAAAGGACACGATTGTGAGCAATTAAAATTCACATTAACCAAATTGAAATTTTAGAGAAAATGATAAGACCAAAGTCCGGCGGATTACCTATCATCCGCTCCAATCCAGAAATTGCTCTTAAGATCATTCTTCAATCTTTTCCAATGATAAATCTTCCCATGATCTTTTTTTTTTTTTTTTTGCATTCATTATGATCCTTAGCTAGATTTTATACTAGCCAATGATCAAATCTAGCTAAGGATCATGCCTTAACACAATCCATTTCTTGATTTTGGTTGATCAAAGGTAAAATTTTAGCCTTGGTAGTTGGACCTAATGTGAATGGATTGATTTTAAGGAGGAGATATTCGAGCAAATTTATGACTATAAAAGGCTTATGTTAGCAAAGAAGAGAGCACATGGGGGCAGCAAAAGAGGGGGAAATCTAGGTTAATAAAGAGTGAAAATCGAAAGGAAAATTTAAATTATTAGTTTTTTTTCTTATTTTCCAATAGCTATAATTTTCTAGGTTTTTTTGGGCGGTTTCTTTGGTGTTCTTCATTTCGAAATTTTGTTCTTCATATATTAGGCTTCCAAAATGGGGATTGCTTGTTTGTTCTTGGTTCCGTTTTGAATCTTGTAGGTGTCTCAACTGGATTTTTCTAGGTTTTAAAGTTTAATTGATAGTTTCGGGTTTTTCTCCGCCAAATTTCTAGGTAGTTGTTCTTGTTGTTCTTTATTTTGGGTTTATGTTCTTGCTTTTTCAATTGTAGGATTTGATTCTTAGCTTTGAATCTTACCTAGGCATTTCTAAACCAATTAACGAGTCTTTTAATCCTCTCAAAACCATTTTGAGTTTCATCTTTCATCTACTTCGAACAACAATTATCAACTTAAGCAATTTGGTTAGTGTTATTCAGATTTTAAGTTTTGATTCCATTACATATGTTGTTTTAAATTTACGTTTGTTAATTGTTCAAGCTTTATGTTGTTTTTTTATTATTATTATAAAGGAAAGAGTATGGACATAGTATGATTAATTAAGTCATTTGCTGCGAAAGGAATTTTTAATTCTCGGAAAACATGATGAATAGAGAAAGGAAGTGAAGAACACGAAGAACATGAGAAAGATAGAGGGTTGGGAGGGAAAAAAAAAGAAGAAAAGAAAGAAAAATGAAAGAAAATAAGGCAAATAGGCTTGGCCAAATGGACATAGGGCCCAATAAGATTTTTTTTTTTAATGTTTTGATTTCATTTTTTACTCAAGTTTGAATATTTTTGTTTCTTTTTTTTCTTTACATTAATTTAGAATTTTTTTTAATGTTTTTTAGAGTTTCTTTAATTAACTTTAAATTTTAGAATTTTATTTTAGTAATTAGGTTAGATGGTTACTTGATAAAAGAATTGTCGAGTCTCTTAATTTTTAAATACGATGATAATTTTTTATCAACAAAAAAAAAAGCTTAAGGAAGTCTCCTATTGGATAGGGATTGTCATTGAAAAAAATAAAAAATTACTAACATAGTCTCCTATCTTATCCGAACTGTTGTTAGCAAAAAAATTAACATTTAATAATCAAGATGTTCTTTGACACGTCGATTGTGTCAAGGCTAAAAGTGAATCTAATATTTGAACCGATGTATCGTCAAACGAAGGGATCGAATATTGTTTCAATATGATGCCACACCTAAAGATAAAAAACTTAATTAACTTCGAAATTGGAGATAAATTCAAAAATAAGTTGACAAAAAATAAATACTTTAGGAGGTGAATTTAAGACTAAACTAGATATGGTACCTTTCATACGAAATGACGTCTTTGAGTTATCGATATCTTTCCAAAGCTTAACCAACTCCTTATCCGAGAATCTTTGCATTAGTGCTTATTTTAATTAGGTTCATATCTCCTTTAATACTAGGTGATGGCTCTAAATTAATTAAAAACTTGCGTTTCTAGAATTACTCACAAATGTGATGCAAATCTCTGTAAAACTATATATTTTTTGAAAGTCTCATCCGACGTCGGGTAGCGACAATAATTATTCAAGAGGTTTTTGATCAAGGGTATTACAAATTTAGTCTCATTTTTATATATTTTGGTCATATTTAAAATTTTAATGTTTTTAAAATATTATGTTTATTAAATATTATTTTTTAAATTTTGGATTGGATTATTGTCGAATCGGATCAAGGTATATTTGAAATTTATCTATTAATAAATGGCTTAATATATTTAGATCACAATCAGACTTGGATCAAAAAAATTATTTATCAAATCTATTTCATTACATCAGATTCAGTTCATGATTCGATTCATATCTCTAGCTGTACTGTTTAGTTCCTTATGATTAATGAATCTTCATTCATTAAATAATGGCTCATTCATTAAATAATGGCACATTATAGATTAAAGACTCATTTTTAGTCCAAAAAAGGTTAAACACTCATTAATTTCTTAAACTTTGATTAATCCAATTTTAATAAATAAAAATAAACTAAATCAAATCAAACAGAACCGATCGGTTTTTATTTTTATTTGGTTCAAAATGACGAAAAATGTAACATTCTGGTTTTGTGGATTTTATTGGTCCAAACCAAACCTTTTGAACCGATGTTGACCCCTTTGAGAAGGGGAATCTGTTAGGTTTATTTTGGCCATATAATTTTTTATTGCAGTATTTAACCTCATTTGTTTTTTTTTTCAGACAATTTAATTTATGATAAAAATGATTTTAATTAAGTTCTACCCTTTTAGTGAATCACGTGGTTTTATTAACAAAGCCCTATGTTGTTCAATGAAAGGATGACATTGCTGATAAAAATAATAATAATAATAATAATTCAGGATCTAAATCAAAATAAAAATAAGTTAGGGACTAAGTTTATGTTGACCGAAAGTTTATGGTACTTTTTAACCCATTAGCCCAATTAAAATTAATTCTTTTTCTATCAAGGGTTTTTGAATACTAATAAACCTTGTAGCCTTTTCGATTTATGCTGCATCAGATTCCAATAAGGTAAGCAAGCTTTCAAAATAATTTTATTTATTATAAAACTGAATCTGAGAATAGGTGTTGGACTAATCTTCTAATGACCAAAAGTTCAAGATATTTTTCAATCAATTAGCCCAATAGAAATTAATCCTTTTTTAAAAAAAAAAAAAAAAAAAAGGTTTTTGAGTACTCATAAATACAATATATTTTTTTGTATAGGTTGAGTCAGATTCCAATGAGCTAAAAAAGCTTTCAAAATAATTTTATTTATTGTACAACTCAATCTGTCATTTAATAAACAGAATGGAATTTGGACTCTTTTTTTTTTTTCAATTAGAAGACTTTTTGATTTATCATCAAAGGTTAATTTATTAATTCCTTTGGATTTCATAATTGTTTATTATATATAGAAAAGTTGATGCGAAATCAAATTTGTGACCCGACGGAGAAGCCTAAATTGGGTTAGAAGCTAAATTGGGTTAGAAGGAAAATGATTGCTCAACTAAATTCTATGATGAGTTGAATATTAATTGTAAAAGAAAACGGAGAGGAAAAGCTATGGTCCTATTGCTTATTTCAGCTCTCTCTCTCTCTCTCTATATGTATATATTCTTGGATATATGAAGCTAATACGTACCAGAAATTAATATCCAAGAAAGTGTATTATTCCATCGCTGATAGGGAAGTGGGAATATTTGGAGATTTTGAGTCTTGGAGGTTCTCGAAATATAAAGTGGGGGCAAGGATCGATTTGAAGAATCTAGTGATAATATTGGAAGGATGCAAAAACCTTGATTATTTAGATACAAGAGGCTCCTTAGGTTTTGACTCTAATGAAAAGGTACTGGAGCTAACTTCGCATATTGAGACATTCAAGTGTGAAGGTTCAATGCTGGAGGATAAGCTGCAATTCACGACTTTTTTGAAAGAACTACATGAAAATTTCGACGGAGATTTGGTAAAAAAATATAGTGAATCGTTACATGAGTAATTATTGGAATTCACGACTTTTGCTGTGTTCCTGCTCATTCTAAAAGGATTGTGCAGTTTATATATAATGTGCCAATTCTACTATGAAGTACAAAGAGCCCAAGAGCTCTCAAGACTTATTTACCTAAGGCCTTACTTGGGCTGGGATGTTTTATTGGATGTCGGCCTGGGTTGCAAGACTTCTTTACTTAACGTGATTTTGTTTTGCCTCACACTCCATTCTTTCAATTTTCAATTGCAGTCTTTGCTCTCTGTTGAAAATTATTCGTTTGAGAAAAAAGGGTTATCTAAGATCAATAATTTTCTACTTTTGTGGAATCCATCCATTAGAAAAATTTTGAGACTACCAAAACTTATGTTATGTGATACTACTAAAACCTATGTTGTCTGGTCATACAAATATGTCTCATTATCCTGTTGTTCTTGGTTTTGATTTTGATTTGAGAAATGCAGACCATAACGTTGTTATGACCGTTATGATGATCCAACAAGTTATATAAAAACATGGACAGACTTCTTAGAACTTCTTGGCTTTACATATTTTATGTCCATAATGATCATACTTTTGTTAACAAGCTGTGCATAACTTCATGAAGGGAATAACAAAACAATGAGTTCTTCGAGGAAATCATGCATGTACCTGTACAATCTTGGTTACTGTCATGTTTGAGTTATAAAAAAATATAGAGTGAACTACGAAGCAAAATTTTGTAATTTTGACCTTTCAGGAGTAACAGGATCATAAATATTCCTGCCTTACTTGAAGAATCTAATATGCATAAATAAATGGAGTGATGAGAGATCAAATAAAAAATTACAGAATAGATAAAAGATTAAAAACAGGTGCTTTTTTTTATTCTGTAATGTCATTATTTTGAAAAGGATAAATTTTACTTTCTAAAATTTATATGTTTTTTCAGTTTTATCTAAAATAATTTATTTATTTTTTTTCAACTAGACTCTATATCATCAAATATCAAATCTTACAAGCTTGATATTTCCAGTTTAATGATAATCAAATTTTACACCTAATTTTAGTTTGCTTCTTTAATTTCCTCCAATTGCTTATAGAATGCACTAGTGTTTTTTACTCGCGCTACGGCGAGGGTTGAATAAAATATATAAAATCATTTCAGTTTAATAGTTTGTTTTATGATGTGAATTTATAAAAATATATGAAATCAAAGGTGTAAAAAATTATTTAATAAAAAATTTTGTATTTAATGATTTCTTAGTTGTGTTTTTCATACTATTTTCTTTAGAAAAAGGATTCATCCTTGTTAATCCATGGATTATTGACTAAAAAGAAAATTAAATAAATTTTTTAAAAAAAAACTTTAGTATTTCATAAGATTGTGTCAAAAAACATAAATAATAATTATTAAAAGCTTACATAGAATTGAACAAATAATTTTTTTTATTTAATATTGATGAGAATATCGTTTTTTGAAAAAATGTGAATTTAATTTTTATATATTTATTTACAAAAGAATGAATAATAGTAAAATAAAAAACTATATTAATTTGAATCATTGAGTGGTTAAGCCAAAACATTATTTTATTATTTAATTTTAAAATATTCAAAAATAAATAAATAAATAGTAAATGCTTAGTATAGTAGGAGTTGCATAGTCGATTTCTAAAAAAATAACGATTCAATACTTTTTTTATATATCATAATTATACTAAGCGACTTTAGAGTTTTCGAGTCTTAAACAAAAAATACTATAAAAAGTTAACTTGCAAGGAATATATTGACTAAATTTGAAGTTAATAGAATAAAATAAAAATTATTACAAATTTGATTTTGAATAATTTTGATTATATAAAGAAGAAACATATTAATAAAACATGTGAATTCTTGTTCTTTTTCTTTTTGTTCTCCTTCTTAAATATTTTTTTTTATTTCTATACTATGCATGGCTAGTCCTTAAATATAGACCTCACACACGGAGCAACCATTTTTTTTTCACATTTGAATTTCAACTATTAATTAATTAATTTGAGTTTTATTTCTAAAAAAAATTGAGAAAAAATTATTTGAAATACACTTTTAATCTAAAAATGTATTTTAGATAAATTATATATATTAATCATGCTACTATAATTTAAAAGTTATCTAAATCTAGTTTTCAAAAGAAAAACTAATCATGTTCTAAAAATATATTTCAAAATCCATACATATAGAAAAATAAATCAAAACTATAAGTAACTATAATTTTCAATTAATTAGATGATAATTTTTTTTAAATGATAGATTAAAGTAGTAAATTTTAAATAATAAAAATAATTAACAAAAAATACTAAACAAAATGAGATGAAATCATAATATAATCAAAGTTTGAAACTGAAAAAAAAAAAGGAAGAGAATTAAAAAAAAAAAAAGACAAATTAATGTAGTAAATTTTAAATACTAAAAAAAAAGGAAAAAATTATTTGAAAAACACTTTTAATCTAAAATTATATTTCAGACAAATTATATATATTAATCATGCCACTATAATTTTAAAGTATCTAAATCTATTTTAAAGAAAAATAATAATCATGTTCTAAAAATTTATTTCAAAATCCATACATACGGAAAAATAAATTAAAGCTGCCGATAAATATAATATTAAACAAATTAGATAAGAATTTAAAGAAAAATAAAAAATTAAAGTAGTAAATTTAAAATAATAAAAATAATTAACAAAAAATACTAAAAAAAATGTGACGAAATCAAAATATAATCAATGTTTGAAATTGAAAAAAAAAGGCAATTTAAAAAATAAATGACAAATTAATGTAGTAAATTTTAAATAATATAAAAAAACTGAGAAAAAAATATTTGAAAGACACTTTTAATCTAAAAATATATTAAGATAAATTATATATATTAATCATGCCACTATAATTTAAAAATGATCTAAATCTATTTTTCAAAAGAAAAAATAATCATGTTCCAAAATTTTATTACAAAATCCATACATATAGAAAACTAAATCAAAACTATTAGTAAATATAATTTTAAATTAATTGAATGAGAATTTTAAAAAAATGACAAATTAAAATAGTAAATTTTAAATAATAAAAATAATTTACAAAAACCCTAAAATAAAATGGGATCAAATCACAATATAATTAAAGTTTGAAATTGAAAACAAAAAGAGAATTTAAAAAAATGAAAAATTAAAGTAGTAAATTTTAAATAATAAAAATAATTAACAAATTAAATTTGAAATTGAAAAAAAAAAAAGAGAATTTAAAAAATGACAAATTAAAGTAGTAAATTTTAAATAATAAAAATAATTAACATAAAACATTAAAACAAAATGGGACCAAATCACAATATAATTAAAGTTTGAAATTGAAAAAAAAAGATTTTAGAAAATTTGAGAACCAAAGTGTTAAAAAATTGACTTGAATAGTGAAAAGAAATAGTGATTTGTGAGTGTGTGAATAGTATTTCAAATAGTGAAATGAATAGTAAATGTATGTTTTACTTTAGTTTGTTTTATTATATATGCATTGATCAATGTAAAATTTTATAAAATGATATATCTCTCATGTTAGATTAGATAAAGCATTAAGAGTCATATTTTATTTATGTGATACATCAAATTTTCTTTACTTTTATTTGTAATGGTAAGGTTACAAAAATAGTCTCCAAGATTTCAAGCAATCAAAATCCAAATAAAACTACATCTCTAATTCAACAAGGAAATCCATTTGTTCGCTTCTTGAAATCATTAACAAAACTTATGAGATTTGTTATGATTATTAAACCGGCCTCATCTCCCATGGTTCTCTCATGCGATCTCTTTAACCCATTGTTCATCTTTATATCTTTCGTCACCCTCTTCAAGCCATCTATTGATTAGGGGCCTACAAGACCATATAGGAGAAAAAAATGGCTACCTAACTAATCAAAGAGGACTAGAAAATCTAAAAAAAATCGATCTACATAGATATATAGATACCAAAAAAATTTAGCCTAATGGCGGTGATCTTTTACAACAAGGGGTTACGGATTTAAATCCTAGCAGATTAGTTCGTTAGAAGCCTTAGGTGTGTGTGTTAAAACAAATATAGATATCTAGATAAGTGGTCGATTATATATAAGAAATATATAATATCATCGCCATCCTATCTTATCTAAGATAGGCTATATTGTATGCATGCAAAAAGAAAATTATGGTTTTATTATATTATGTTTCTATACCTGTTTGAGTGAATTTATTTTTGTTGATATGGAATAGTAGAGTAATTCGGAATTTAGAGCTGGTCCAAGGCTAATACCCATACTCAAAAGTGAAAGGTGAGAGAAATTGAAATTTTTGGCCAATCTTTAGCGAACATAAGCCTATACCAACAAATAGGTGCACTTTTAAAGATTGTAAGCCTATATTGACTTGAACAAAAAGTCAACGAAAACTTCACTCACACAAGTCAAAAGCCATCGACGATTTCGGATCATGAGTTTAAGAAGCTACCGACAACTTCTTTACATAAGTAGGAAGCTATCAATAACTCCATTTGCTCAAGAAAAGGGCAAATCACTTGTTTGAAAGTCACTAGCTACTTCATTCATATAAGAGAAAGTTATTAGTGGCTTCTTTTTTTATGAGAAAAAAACATGTAAAATGACTTCAAAACCACTTATGGCTTCATCACATAAGTAAAACACCACCAATGACTTCATTTCAACAATCAAAAATAAAATAAAAATGATTTGGGAGCCACCGATAACTTCATCCACATAGGTAGAAAGCTACCGATGACCCTTTTTTTAACGAGCGAGAAAACATTTAACATGATTTCAAAACCACCGATGGCTTCATCAAATAGGTAGAAAGTCATTAAATACTTTATTTTAGTGATCAAAAATTAATAAAAATGCTTTAGGAGCTACTTAGTAGCTTCATCCATATAGGTGGGAAACTACTGGTGACCTCTTTTCTAATGAGCGAGAAAACATGTATAACGATTTTCAAATCACTAGCAACTTCATCACATAAGTAG